ATTGAAGAAATCTCAATCTACTTCAACTAGTTCCATCAAGTAGGTGTCGAGGAAACTGAGGAGGGCGTGCCCAGATGCCCCGTCGACCAGCCTGTCGATGCTCGGCAAGGAGTATGAGTCCTTGGGGCATGCTTTGTTCAAATCGGTGTAGTCGACGCACATGCGCCACTTCCCCGAGCTCTTCTTCACCAGGACCACATTTGCCAGCCATGTGGTGTATCTGACCTCGCGGATGAAGCCAGCGTTTAGCAACTTCTGTGTTTCAGTGATGATGGCCTCCCGCCTTTCACCACCGACCTTCCTCTTCCTCTGGGCCACTGGCCTTGCCTCCTTGTGTATCGCTAACCTGTGACAGATGAAGTTAGTGTCTATACCTGGCATGTCGGCGCTGGACCAGGCGAAGAGGTTGGCATTCTGGAGAATCTCAGCTTTGAGCTGCTGTCACAAATCCGGGCTTAGCTGCCTGCTGATTTTCGTGCACTGCCCGGGGAGTTTCTCGATTTGAAGGTCGTCCAGCTCGTCAATGGGGCTTGGCCGCTCGTCAGGGGAGTCGGACCTCAGATCAAGGTCAGCGATTTCCACGTGGGTGATGTGAGCCACGGTGAGGGGATCCTTCTTACTTTGCTCGCCGGACGAGGAAATCCTCAGACTCTCGGTGTAACACTGCCGAGCTATCTTCTAATTTGCGATGATTTTACCGTCGTTTCCCGGGAACTTCATAGTGAGGTTGATAGACTATGGCCAAGGCCAAGGAATCCAAGAGGTCAGCCTGTCGATGCTCGGCAAGGAGTATGAGTCCTTGGGGCATGCTTTGTTCAAATCGGTGTAGTCGACGCACATGCGCCACTTCCCCGAGCTCTTCTTCACCAGGACCACATTTGCCATCCATGTGGTGTATCTGACCTCGCGGATGAAGCCAGCGTTTAGCAACTTCTGTGTTTCAGTGATGATGGCCTCCCGCCTTTCACCACCGACCTTCCTCTTCCTCTGGGCCACTGGCCTTGCCTCCTTGTGTATCGCTAACCTGTGACAGATGAAGTTAGTGTCTATACCTGGCATGTCGGCGCTGGACCAGGCGAAGAGGTTGGCATTCTGGAGAATCTCAGCTTTGAGCTGCTGTCACAAATCCGGGCTTAGCTGCCTGCTGATTTTCGTGCACTGCCCGGGGAGTTTCTCGATTTGAAGGTCGTCCAGCTCGTCAATGGGGCTTGGCCGCTCGTCAGGGGAGTCGGACCTCAGATCAAGGTCAGCGATTTCCACGTGGGTGATGTGAGCCACGGTGAGGGGATCCTTCTTACTTTGCTCGCCGGACGAGGAAATCCTCAGACTCTCGGTGTAACACTGCCGAGCTATCTTCTAATTTGCGATGATTTTACCGTCGTTTCCCGGGAACTTCATAGTGAGGTTGATAGACTATGGCCAAGGCCAAGGAATCCAAGAGGTGATATACTAAAAGAACCAAGAGGAATGGGATGATCTTAAAGACCTTTTTCTTATGTTTATACATATAGTAGTTCTTTTGTATAGGTTATTTTTGCCTTTGTATTTGTGAGGCACTTTACTTGCTTTTTGTAGTGTTTGTATATTGATTTTCAGGTAGGTTACTTGGAGAGTTTAACTCCATTTAACCTCCCTAGTTGATACATTCATTTTGTATTTTTTCAGTAGGGAAAAAGGGGTGGCATTAGCAAAACTAGGGAGTGTGCTTAGAAATTGGGCCTGAGTTAGGCCTAGGCAAAATTTTGCATATTGGACTCATTTTGCTCCTAATTTTTCATAGATTTGATTTAGCTAGGTCTCATCATCATATGATGAACCTAACTAAACCAAATCAAGGATTTTCAAATTAATTCATGGAGCCATTTGGGACCAAGGCCGCCTAGCTCAAGTGTTTCCTCCTTGGCCGAAATTTCAAGCTACACTTCTTGGTTTTTGAAGCTTGCCTTGCAAGCTTCTAAACCTTAGTAGGGTAAGCTTACCTTACCATGGTTCTTAAGTGAACCATGGTCAAGGTTAGTGTTAAGTCTCAATTTTACCTCTTTTTGGATGTGACTTATTGAACAAATTCCACTCATCCTTTGAACCATTGCAATATAATTGTTCTCTTTTTGGTTCATTTTGCGTGCAGATATAACTAACCCAAATTCAGCTAACAATACCTTAATACACCTCATTTTTTGTGCAGGTATTGAGCTAGAGATTTGAGGATTGAAGATCTTTGGGATTGGAAACATAAGGAGCCAAGGAGCAGAGCAGAGTGGCTGCGCCGGGCGCAAGATGACGCCGCGCCGGGCTTGAGAAGAACAGAGCAGTGGACTTCTGGAAGTCATACATGCGCCGGGCGCGAGACTCCACCACGCCGGGCGTGATCGAGGCAGAGAGTACCTCAA